GAAGATTGCGAAATTGCATGAAACTCTGAGTAGCAACATATACCATTTTTAAGATTAAATAAATATATATATATATATATATATATATATATATATATATATATATATATATATATATATATATATATATATATATATATATATATATATATATATATATATATATATATATATATATATATATAGATAAAGATAAAATAAACCTGGTTTACTTCATAAGATTTATTCACTAAACGATTTATTATTTATTATTAAACGATTTATTATGATTTATTATGAAGTAAACCAGGTTTATTTTATCTTTATCTATATTAGCTCTATACTTCGGTATATCGAGCACTCTACTCATATATGATTCTAAATACATATTTGTTATATATATATATATATATATATATATATATATATATATATATATATATACCGCAGAGATCACACACCAATCCGTCAACTTCCTTGATGTCACTTTTAACCTACGCGATGAAAGCTATCAACCCTATCGTAAACCTAATAACGACCCACTTTTCATTGACAGCCGTTCAAACCATCCTCCTGCAATCACGAAGCAACTTCCAACTTCAGTTAACATGCGTATTTCACAGCTATCGTCCAACCAAGAAGCGTTTTCAAAAACCGCTCCTCTGTACGAAGCTGCCCTTCGCCGTAGCAATTACCAAGCGGATTTGAAATATTCCCCCAATAATTCCAATAAGATCAGGAAACGATCACGTAACATCATTTGGTTTAATCCACCTTATAGTACGAACGTAAGAACCAACGTGGGTAGAAATTTCTTAAGTTTGGTTCACACACATTTTCCCCCATCAAATCCACTACACAAAATATTTAACAGGAACTCGGTGAAGGTTAGCTACAGCTGTATGAACAATTGTAAAAGCGTCATATCCAAACATAACATCGGTATCCTGTCCAAAAGTAAGGCAGCTACATCACCAACAACAAACGGCAATGATAACTGTAACTGCAGAAACACCGACAATTGTCCACTCCAAAAGAATTGCCTGATAGAAAGTGTCGTGTACAAAGCGGAAGTCGAGGTTGACAAGGAGAGTACCAAAGAATATATTGGCATGACTTCGACAACCTTCAAAAAGCGCTTTGCGAATCACAAAACCTCGTTCGAAAACCCAGACAAACGAAATTCCACCGAGCTATCCAAATACATTTGGCAATTAAAGAAAAAGAAACGCAGATTCAACATTAAATGGACAATACTAAAACAAACACCTTCCTATCGCAGCGGCGCAAAAAACTGTGATCTTTGTTTCCAGGAAAAATTGCATATCCTGAAAGGTGATAAGACAAAACTATTGAACAAGCGGTGTGAACTTTTCTCGAAGTGCCGCCACCGGAAGCGATTCCTCGCGGGAAAGTTTGAACGTGCGCACGCTGTGCCATCACGCGTATAATTCAAACATAAGTCCAACGTCATCATACGGAAGATTCAACCGTCACTTGTAACACCGTCACCTGATGATCGCACTCAGCGTGAAACTCAGAGTTGTGACTCAATTTTAAGTTAAAATATATATATATATATATATATATATATATATATATATATATATATATATATATATATATATATATATATATATATGTCAATTCAAAAGCGCCCTTTCACGAAAATCTGCCCCCCCCCCCTTGCCTTCACATTGTTCCGGCGTCCCTGGTCATACTGTAAGTTCATTTTAAAGCGCTCTTGACTAATCTATTTTGACTTTGATCTATCATTTGACTTTTTTCACGGGAGGTATTTGAATTTTCAGGGGAGATGCAAAACTCTCTCAAGGGAGGTGCACATGACCTCCCCTCAAAATCCACCCTTGCTTCAATTTAAATTTTGTCCATATTCTCTTACAGAAAACAAACCAAGACATCCCAAAGCGGACGTAGCGACTGAGGTAAGTGGTATGAAATCTTACCTGAATTTTTTTGCATGCATGCTATTTGAACATTCGAGGAGTACTAAAGAAATAAACCTTACTGCATGACCTCTAGCGATAACAGTATTTAGCATTATTTCTGAGTAACCAGAAAATTTTAACAGGAGTGTTTTTAGAGTGCATGGCCCAATTAGCCATTTTCCAATCGAGCAGAGGACTGGATCTAGTCGCTTGTTTGGAGGAAATAAACAATATGCCGAATATGGCATCTAGGAAGTTTTCCTACATTCCTAAAGTTATTTGTGCATGCAGCCTGAAACGCAACAATTAAAACAAGGCATATTTTAATATATCTTTAGCTCGCTCACTATAACTTGTTGTCCCTCCAAACATCCTTCCAAACATCAACTAGACCCAGTCCTCTACTCGATTGGGAAGTGGCTAATTATAAATCATTATTCCCATACTTAGAAATTAAAGGACTTTGGCAATAAAAAATAGTTTAGTTCATTAAGAACTCTTGAAACTATATATTAAACTCCATTACAGATTGATATTTGTGATGTTACTCTGAGTGTATATCCACATCGGGCGAGCTTGAAAAATATGCCCGGGCACGGTGGGATTCGAACCTACGACCTTTGGAATACTAGCCCAATGCTCTTCCAACTGAGCTACGCGGTCAGGACGCTTCGAGTAAGTGATCTTTCGGAACAGAATCTAGTTCCTTCGATACCAATGTATTCTAGTAATATGATTTTTTCTGTGTTGGAGTTGTGTACTCAGGTGAATATGATATTTGTGATGTTACTTTGAGTGTATATCCACACCGGGCGAGCTTGAAAAATATGCCCGGCCACGGTGGGAATCGAACCTACGACCTTTGGAATACTAGCCCAATGCTCTGCCAACTGAGCTACGCGGTCAGGACAGTTCGAGTAAGTGATATTT